AGGGGGTGGGTGGGGGCAGGGGGTTGTGCTGCTGCGGGGCGGTGTTTTTAGAGCTGGCAGGCGAGGGGCAACGGTCCCTCCACCTTTTTCCAGCCACAGCCAGTGTTTGTCCACCCTCTGTGCGGAATAATTTTACGTGCACCAAGGCAGGTGCACCACCAGCAGAAACACCAACCGCACTGATGGTGAGAGAGAGGAGGAGACCCCACCCTGGAGAAGAGGGACAGAGGGCAAGAGGGAGAAAGAACCCCCCAGCCCACAAGGGGAGGAAGCAAAGGGGGCAGCAGTCGGAGAGAGTCCCCAAAACCAGGTTGAAGGGAGACCTCCCCACAGCAAACCAGATTAGCAGAGGGCCCACTGCACGGTTTGTGTTTCTACAGGTAGTGCACATTCCCACAAGCCTCGGTGCACAGAGAAAAATTTATTCCGCACACGGATGGGAAAAATCCGCTGGTGGAAGGGAAAAAATTTAGAGGGAACATCGGTCACCGGCCCAAACTCCTATGAGCGTCGCCTTAGCAAAACGGCCTTTGGAAAACTTGTCCTTTGCAGCTGTCCACACACACACCCCTTACTTTCTCCGACATTCACCCCAGACCCCCTCCAGTCTGCAGAGAGAGGAAAAAGAGGCGGTTTCATGCTGTCACGTTCTACGAGATTTCTGTCCCACCCCACGGGCACTAGGGGTCACCCAATGACTTGGCAGGAAGTTTAAAACAAGCCAAAGGAACAGCGCACAGCCAACCTGTGGAACTCCTCGCCAGAGGAGGTTGGGAAGACCAGGACTTTTAACAGGGTTGAAAAAAGAGGGAGATAGTCACTGAGGGACCTGCCCCCATGAGTGTATGAGCCCGGGTGGTGTCCCGAGCCTCTGTCTGGGAAGAGGTGACAGGAGAGGGTGAGGATTCCCTGTTCTGTTCACTCCCTCCGGGGCCATTGACGTTGGCCCCTGAAGGCCCACAGTCCCCAGCGGCCCAGCCTAGGGGAGTTAGGCGCTTGTGAAGATCTGAGGTGGGACAGCCCCGGAGAAATGGCTGGAAAGGCTTCAGGGGATTGAGGCACCTAACGCCTAAGGGATTTAGGCACTGAAGCAGCAGACAGGAGAGCAGTAGGGGGACGAAAGCCTCCTGCAGGAGAGACCCCCCCGGCCAGGGTTCGCTGGAAGCAGAAGGGTCAGGCAGCCACTCGGGAAAGATTCAAATGCCACCCGGTTAATTAGGGCCCCACCGCCAGCAGCCTGGGTTTCTAGGGGTGGTGCACCTGCACCTGCGTACACAGAATAAAATTTATTCTGCCCCATGGGTGGAAAAAAGGAGAGGGAACCCTGCACTGAAGCAATTTGAGGGGTGAATCTGGACATATTCTCCCCCTCCTCCAAAATCAGCTCAGATTTCGGACAGGAGAGACACAAAACACGCCCAGAACAGGTTAAGGCCCACAAGGCATCCAGGCACCTAACTCCCCTTACAACCAAAGGGGATTAGGCACTCTGGAGGATCGAACGCCTTTAGCGCCCGGCGCAAGTCCTTCGGGGGGGGCGGAAGGTGCTTGTTGGGACCCCCGTGAAAAGCGGGGTGCCCATCTAGGGGGCCTGGGCTAGACTGCGCCGCAGCTTTGAGATCTGTCTGCCCGGATTCGTCTGCCCTGCCAACTTTGCAGACAACGGTGGAGAAAAAAAAAGCACATACACAAGGAACCGTTTGTCTTCTGATCCCTCCCGTGTTTATTTCGGGATTTCCTGGCACCCGGCCCAGACAGGACAGCCCCGGAGCCCCCTCCCCTCAGACAACCCCTAAAAAACAAGTCGGTTACACATTCGGCGAGTCATTAAAAAAAGAAAAAAAAAAAAAAGAAAGAAAGAAAGAAGTTGCTTCAATTTCCCCTCCTCCTGGCGGGCTCTGCCGGGGCGGAGGCCGGCCGAGGGGAGCC